CTCCTTTAACCAAAGTATTTATTTTACTGTATTTCACTCGAATTATTCACTTGTCATTTTATATTTTTATTTATGGTGCAATAAAGAGTTAAATAAATAAATATTTTTTACATTAACGTGTCCACATGCGTCCATTTATCCAAACTCTTACATTCATAATATACTAGCTCCTGTACGCGGTTTTGTCTGCATGTTTGAGATATGTTTACTGACCGGGATAAGCAGTAGATATACATATATCTCGGACAATCCCATTTGCGCTATCAGTATAGTCTGGCAGTGCATCAGTGAGGATTGGTAAGGATGAAAGCTAGTAAAGTTAGTTCATCGTAACGAATTCTACTAGAATTAGCCCCGATGGTTTCTAGGGGGATCTGCGTGGGAGTCGACCTGAAAGGGTGTTTTATTTTGTGTTGCTAGCAATGGGGCTGTTAAACCCCAATACTAACAATCCCTTCTCTCAACTATTGTGATCAACTGCCTAGGAATTTGTCACAATGGGTCAACTAACCTGCTTTCATCCTCACCTATCATCCCTCACTGGTGCCCCATCAGTGTATACCAAGAGTGTAGACAGGGTTATCACTTCATTATCATCCTTACTAATATTATAATTATGGGTTAAAGGGATTGCTAGTAATGCGGAATACCAGTCTCATTACTAGCAATATATCCTATCAGGTCGACCTCCACATGGTCCCTCCTGGAATCCATCGTGCTGAATCATCCCTCACTGCCAGCGTATACCGTTAATACAATCGGAGTCAAAATTCCATTATCATGCATTAAAAAACAATTATATACATGTTAATGTAAGTTTGTTTGTTACCTTATTATGCCTTAACAGCTTAACCAATCGTTGTCAAATTTGGAATAGCCGTACTATATGTGATACTTTCTAACCCAGTCAATAAACATATCCCAGTCAGGTGGACGAAGTCACGTGTAAAACCTAGTCTATTTATAAACCAATCCTTTAAACTTTAACACAAAATGCAAATAGAAATGCCGAGTTGAATTTTAACCAAAGCCAATTAGACTCTATTGTGCTTAAATTAAAGCCGATATTATACGCAAATGGCATTTGCTCAAACCCATAGCTGTGGTCCTTCTTCACACCGTATCTATACTAATCTCACTAATATAACAAAATTGTAACTACACGATATCTGTACGGTGTACGTGGAAGATATTTAAGAGAAATATAATATGAGAAATCTTAAAAAGAGGGGAGAAAGGAATTGTTAGCAATGGAGTTTGACAGCCCCATTGCTAGCAATATGCCTTATTACGTCGACCTCCACGTGGTTCCCCCTGGAAAGCATCGTGAACAATTCTTGTTGAATTTGTCACGATGGACTAACTGACCTGCTTCATCCTCACCTATCATCCTTCACTGGTGCCCCGCCGGTGTATACCGATAGCGCGGGTGGGGTTACCATTATCATCCATTAAAAAAAAATCTTAAAAAGATACCCTACAGCCTAAATGGTCGCGTACAACGCGGTTTCAGAGATGTTTTCTCCCACGAACACTCAGGTTATGGAATGAGCTCCTTGCCGAGGTCTTCCCAAGAGACTACAGCTTGTGGATCTTCAAAAGGAGAATAAAGAGGTTTCTTCAGGGTCGGCAACGCGCACGTAATACTTCTGGTATTGCAGGTATTCATAAGGGATTTCTTCGAGTCAACCTTGAGTACCCGAAATGAGAGAGTGTATATAAACCATAATATATATGGTGCAAAATATTTTTTTTTATACCACTGAGGTGGCAAACAAGCTGACGGCCCACCTGATGGAAAGTGGTAACAGTCGCCTATAGACATGAGCAGTACCAAGGATATAACAGAGTATACTGTTTCGCCCATGATACCCCCCATACGTTGCCATTCCTGAGGACTCAGGTGTTATTCCTCTGTACCCTGTAAATTCACGCCATATCCCACCCTTCAAACCGAAACACAGCCATGCAAACACAACTGCTTTACGGTTGAAACACGAATGGGAAAGAGGTACCCTAGCAGACGACTTTTGTACAAAGTCTCCCTCTGGTTTTAAACTAATATTGTATAGAGAAATGATTTAATTGTGTTAGTAATGTATAAATTCAAAAACTATTCAATCTACTTAATTAAAGATTGTATCCCAAAAAAATCGTCTTTGATTGTGACAAAACGAGTTATTCTAATTTAAAAACTAAACTACTAAACCGATTTCGATAAAATTTTCACAGGACCAAACTGTAAGTGTGTACTTTCAGATGAAATACTAATTTTTCAAATCGGTTCACAACTGACGGAGTTATGAGGTAACAAATGATAAAAAAAAAAACAACAAAACCGAATTAGAAATCCACTTCTCTTTAAAGTCGATCGAAAATTCTTTCATCCATGGAAAGGTACTTTATCAGCAAGCAATATAGGTTATATTTTATTTAAAAAACAACACTAGTATAATATAACTAGCGACCCGCCCCGGCTTCGCACGGGTGCACATTACATCACGTCACATTAGATACCTCTAAATTTATCAGTGTTTCTCTACAATATTATGCATGTATTATACATATAAACCTTCCTCTTGAATCACTGTATCTATTAAAGAAAACCGCTTTAGAATCCGTTGCGTAGTTCTAAAGATTTAAGCATACATATGGACGGACAGACAGCGACAGCGACTTTATTTTATACTATGTAGTGATAATGATGCGGAAATTTTTTTTTTTTATTTTGCTTAAACGCGCCAGTCTCTAGAACTACCAGTCGGATTTGAATATTTTATTTTTACTAGCGGCCCGTCCCGGCGTCGCACGGGTGGACATTTTTAACATTTCCCTTCACTGCTCTGCTCCTATTGATCGTAGCGTGATGAAACGTATACTATAACCTGCCCAGGAGTATGAAGAATAATTGTACCAAGTTTCGTTAAAATCCGTCGAGTAGTTTTTCTTTCTATAACGAACATACAGACAGACAGACAGACAAAAATTTTACTGATTGCATTTTTGGCATCTGTATCGATCACTAATCACCCCCTGATAGTTATTTTGGAAATATATTTCATGTACAGAATTGACCTCTCTACAGATTTATTATAAGTATAGATTTCATAGTTCATTTCTCGAGAAGAGATATAGGCTATTCAAAAATACGATACAACTGCGGACAAAGCCGCAGGACAGAGCACTTATGCTAAATTTCATGATAATTAGTTGAGCCGTTTATTCGCTAAGAGATGACAAACAGACACATTTTCGTTCTTATATTTAATATTAGTAAACCGGTCCTTCACACCATGAGGCCTATGTTCAACATATCAGCTGTTAACTGCCCACTGCTGTACATAGGCCTCCCCCATAAATAGGGGGTTTTACTAGTAGTTGCCACGCTTGGCAGGCGGGTTGGCAACCGCAGTTAGGCTTTGATGATGTTTAAAGAGTGACGCTGCTGCCTATCCCTCGGCCATTAAGTACCCTTAGTACGACACCTAGGGGAAAACCTACGGGTGGCCCATTCTATACCACGGGATCACGGGATTTTTAAGTAACTCCATTAATATTATAAATGCGAAAGTTTACATCAATGAATGAATGTTTGTTGCTCTTTCTCACAAAAAATACTAAACAGATATGAATGAAATTAGGAATACAGGTTGATTATAACAAACTTAGCATATAGGATACTTTATGTACAAATTCACTAGAACGAATCCACGGGATACAGCTAGTTTTTAATATCAATAGGCCTATTACCATTTTAGATATATAAAGAGAAGAATGAAAGAAAGAAAGAAAGAAACTTTATTTTACAAAAACATACGACTACACCCATACAGGTGTCAAAAAAAAGTATTTAAAAATATAAGAAACTACATAAAAAAATATAAATAAATAAAAAAAATTTTTATTATAACAGTTTATTATATCAATAGAAACACAACATTTTACAGAGCATATTAAATTCGACGTCGCAATGGGCGAGCATACCGCCGTCGCTCGGTTTTTGACGTAATTTTCATCGCCGTAAAGTTTAAATTGACACTAACCGCTTTACCACAAAAAAATTTAACTTAGCAAAGATAAGTGTTCAATAAATGTTTAAATGTCTTACTAGAAAAACCTGTCTAACATTTGTTTACGTCTATACAAAAGAATATTTTATTATAAATTAACAGGTATTTAAAGTACAAAATTTTACTACAATAGTTTATATATATATTGGTAAATCTTCAGTTTTACCAGTAAATCTTAGTATTTACCAATATGAGTTGGTAAATGCGAGGACTTTATAAAAACAAGATCATTTTTGTATCTTTCACCAAACCAAACAAACGAATGTACGAGCTTTTACAGTAACATATGTATTTGTACATTTTATTTCTATATTTTTTAATTTGCCACGTCTCTGATGTAAGTATAGAAAAAAATAGATATACCGTAATTCGGGCTTTTACAGAACTAGACATAGTTTTAAACATGTACAATATTGTACAGTTTTAGTGTTCAGTAAATTTTTTATCTTTCTCGTGGTCAGAAAGATACGAGTAGATTAGATTAGGTTTGGTTTGGTTTGGTGAAAAATATAAAAAATGATTTTGTTCTTATAAAATCCTATTTACCAACTCACATTGGTAAATTCTAAGATTTACTGGTTAAACTTAACATTTACCAATGTGCAGCCTATTAAATTAACATATATGTTTATTTTTTTATAGATTTAAAATTATAAAGAAACATTTTTACACTAAATAAACATAATTTAGTTACTTAGAGTTTTGTTAAACAACGCCTGTAATAGACAATGTTTTACATTACTTTTGTGGTAAAACTGTATTTAGTGTTGGCCTGTTTATTGAATAAACATTTATTTCGAATTCCGTACGTCTAATGTTAGATTAAAAATAACAAGTCATGCCGTTAAAACGACCGAAAATGTTCCAGGTAAGTCATTGGAAGTATAGAGCCCACTCGAAATACAAAATGTCATGTCTAGAAATCATTACCGGCTTGATCTTGATAAAGTCGAAAAACTTACAAAAGAGACGAACAAATCGCTCGCTCACATCGTCCGATCCGGTTTATTTCCAAAATAACACAATAGAAACCAACACAAACGGTCAAAGTCTCAGAATTACACTTTTCGAAAAGTTGAATGGCACCGCGAATTTTCGGCGGGCAATCGGAACGAGACGTCCACCCCCGACAAGATTACGTTGCGCACTGAAATAAAATAAACTTGCACCTTTACAGAGGGTGCCGTAGTATTATACCGATATTTTGAATGTATCCTGGCATCTGCTTACCAGCTATGACCTATACGCCTTCTCAAATTATTAAGGTTATAGTTAACACCAATAGAACTTTTCCTACATGAAACACGAAGCATAGACAAGATAGGAATTTTTTTCTGGACTTTAGTGGTTTAAGGCTTAGGTTGCAGATCAAGAGATACTGATGAGACTGGTGAGTGTAGTTGACTATGGAAGGAGTTATTTTCTCTTTTTACTTTAAAGTTGGATGAAAGATACTTTTAAATATACCAACATTAATAAGGAAAACATACAATAAATCCTATGTTTATATATACACACTCATACATATATATGATGGATTATAGGGTGACCGCGGGGAAGTCGACCTTATAGTGTACTTTCTCTTAGTAGGCTTTAGTTACGAATATTTACATATATATATATATATATATATATATATATATATATATATATATATATATATATATATATATATATAATCTTCCTTCCGAGACTTTCCCTAGAGGCTACAGCATGGGTTTCTTCAAAAAAGGCTTATTACAACCGCGCAACAGGCGCGGAAAAATCCTGGGCTACGATAACCCCGTTTACCATCAGACGGGCCGTATGTTTGTTTGCCACCATAGTAGTATAAAAAAAACTGTAGGTCCTCATCTACTACCTTTAATGAACGGTACCATGACGCTTATTTACAACTAGTTACATCCCACTGCTATGCCCGCACGAATTAGTATAAAAAGTATCATATTAACTTTTAGATTTTCTCGCTGCATATTTCATGGTTTATCAGAGACGGGAATTGACGGGAATTGCAAACAGAGATGTGTTGAATGTTATATCCATGGTACTGCTAATGTCTATAGACGACGGTTACCATTTTCCATCAGGTGGGCCGTCAGCTTGTTTGCCATTCTAAGTTGTATAAAAAATCACGTCGGTGAGAGGTTACCAAACTCATTATACGAAACGGGCATCTAGAAACACAAATGAATACGCTGCAAATACGAAAACTGAAACAAACGGGAAATCAGAAATAAAAATTTTATCGGTCAACCAAGCTCTCTCTCTACCTCTGAAATTTTCAGCGCACTCGCTTAACAACCGGCGTTACATTGTTCAAAATAAATCTGAAGTCTGTAATTGGACAGCTGGCTGTGTAAAGGAGTTTGCACACTCGCCGTGTTACACTGAACGTTTACAAGCGATCTCTAAAAGGAGGTTCTCGATTCGACTGTATTTTGTTTCATGTATCATAAAGTTTAAATGTTAGTTTAACCTCATAACTCTATAAGTTCTGTACCGATTTGGAAAAAACTTTTTTTATGGGAAAGGACATACTTAAAGGTTGATCTCATAGAAATTTTATCAAAATCGGCTCAGTAAATTCGTTTTTAATAATAATAATAATTTTTATTTCGGATTTTTTTGGTCCATTAAATAGTTATTAGTTTTTAAATTGAAATCTTTTTTTTAACACAATCTTAAATATGTAAAATCCCAAATCGCAATGTCTGTATCCAATCCCATGTGGTATGTGCATATCAAATTTGTTAGTGATGGGTTAACCGTTAGGTGCTATGAGATTACCAGAGGGAGACTTTGTACAAAATTCGATTGCTTGGGTACCTCTGTCCCATTCGTGTTTCTACCGTGAAGCAATTGGGTTTGCATGGCTGTGTTTCGGTTTCAAGGGTGGGATATGGCGTGAATTTACAGGGTACAGAGGAATAACACCTGAATCCTCAGGAATGGCAACGCATGGGGGTATCATGGGCGAAACAGTACACTCTGTTATGCCCATGGTACTGCTCATGTCTATAGGCGACGGTTACCACTTTCCATCAGGTGGGCCGTCAGCTTGTTTGCAATTCTAAGTTGTATAAAAAAAAGATTAGAAAATAAAACAAACAAGTTCACTTTCATATTTATTTAAAGATACTTTCAACACTAAAGGTTCAGAATTCGAGAAATTACTTCAGAATGAAGTTTTATATGAATATTTTAAATTCATGTATACTTTTAGAGATACAATCTCTTTATTAATAATGTTAATAATAATTTTAGAGATACAATCTCTTTATTAATAATGTTAATAATAATTTTAGAGATACAATCTCTTTATTAATAATGTTAATAATAATTTTAGAGATACAATCTCTTTATTAATAATGTTAATAATAATTTTAGAGATACAATCTCTTTATTAATAAATGTTAATAATAATTTTAGAGATACAATCTCTTTATTAATAAATGTTAATAATAATTTTAGAGATACAATCTCTTTATTAATAATGTTAATAATAATTTTAGAGATACAATCTCTTTATTAATAATTTTAATAATAATTTTAAAGATACAATCTCTTTATTAATAATGTTAATAATAATTTTAGAGATACAATCTCTTTATTAATAATGTTAATAATAATTTTAGAGATACAATCTCTTTATTAATAATGTCAATAATAATTTTAGAGATACAATCTCTTTATTAATAATTTTAATAATAATTTTAGAGATACAATCTCTTTATTAATAATGTTAATAATAATTTTAGAGATACAATCTCTTTATTAATAATTTTAATAAATTTATTATCAACAGTCCTATATGCAAGGTGCTTTAAACAGCGGCGGTGGTCCGAGTTATAATGATCACAACAATGTATCGTTTACAAGCAGCCAGCAATCGCGGCGGGAAATTACTGAATCTTGTATGAAATCTTACTTCCCCATTAATATTATGGGGTTTTGTTGCCTCCCTACATTGAATTATTATGTTACAATAGAAATACCACATCAAAACAAAAGTTAGAAATTGTAATTTAATCTCAGATCGTGTTTTAAATGAATATCCACTTTGTTTAAATGATTTATGTATTTATATAATTATTTATTTTATGATAGTTTGTTTTCCTTATGCCTATAATTATTAATATATATCCTAGTATTAGGTACATATTTAACATATAATTTTGTTTGATTAATATGTAAATGTATATATATATATATATTTAATTTTTATATATTTTAATTTGCAAAAGATGCTTTTTTAATTATACAGCACTATCATACCTATTTGTACAACAATTAGTCCATTACCTTAAAGTTGTCTTGAAAAGATTGCTCTCAGCAATAAGACCGCCTCACTGTACTTATACAATTGTATCGTTGTGTTTGTAAATTGTCTTGCTTATTCCCTATATTGTATAATGCAAATAAAGTATACTCATTAATTTATTAATTAAATGATATATAAATATTACTCTAATATAAATCGTTAATATTTACAGAAAGTGTATATTAATATAGTTTTAAATGGCCGTGTGTGGTCCCGGCATAGAATGGGCCACCCCTTCCACTTCACCCCTTCCTTCACCATGGGTGTCGTAAACAACTAGGGAAGGGCGAGGGATGGCCGGCAGCGTCCCTCTTAAAACATCTGTAAAAGCCCAACTGTAGTCGCCAACCCGCCTGTCAAACCTGGCAACTACTGGCAAAATTTTCCTTATGGGAAAGTCTCATGTCCAACAGTGGACAGTTAACGGCTGAAATCATAATATTAGAATTTAGTTAATAATATTAAAACTCTAATTGTCATAATATATATTTTTTTAATTCAATTCACTCATAATCTTATTTTCTGATATTGCTCACAACTTAGGTTACATGTTTATTTTTATTATTTACTTAATTTACTTGCACTGTATGTTAATGTTAAAGTGAATGCTGTGAATACCTATAATAGGCGTGTGCATTAATATTGTATTATATTTAATGTTTGTTATACCTATATGTTATAATGCAATATGCTGTTGGTGTTCCTTAAATAAATAAATAAATAGAGTAAATCACGAAATATTTCTGGGAATAACTTTTAAAGATACTTTTAGACATTATAATTTCAGAAATTATTGTATTTTAGAAGTTTTAGATAATAATATTTACAGCTGCATTTTAAGCCTATCAATATGATCTGTAGGCACTAAATAAACCAGAAATCGTGTCTCGCAAATTAAAATATTACTATAATCTCTAAAATTATCAAAGCATTTAACTTTTATTTGTTTTATTCATTAAATGTTCATTTATTTGACTCATTAAATGTTCATTTATTTCATCTATTAAATGTTCATTTATTTTGTTCATTAAATGTTCATTTAATGAACAAAATAAATGAAAATTAATATATATATAATATTAATTTACGCTACCTTGTGCAAGGTCTGTTAAAGTGCGAAGGTGGACCGAGTTATAATGATCACAACAATGTACCGCTTACAACCGGCCGACGATCGCGGCGGGAAATTGCTGAATCTCGTCATAAATTCTTACTTCCTTATTGAAATTATAGAGCTTTTATTGCCTTATACTTCTAATATCGGATCATATTACATTTAATGATATTATTAGAAAAGAAAAATGGCAAATACTTTTTTTTTACCACTGAGGTGGCAAACAAGCATACGGCCCACTTGATGGTAAGTGATTACCGTAGCCTATGGCCACCTGCAATACCAGAAGTATTATTGTATAGGTATTTTTTATTATACAAAAATTCTACAAATCATTGTTATGGGTTCTGTTCATGAAGGTTCATGAAGCCCCCTGCAATAGTTTTTCTTATATATCTTCCATGTACAGACAGCGACCAGTTATGATTTTATTATATGTATTGATTTAATTTATGATAATTCAATAGCTAGTAATATCGTGAAATAATCAAATTAAAATGTCAGATTTATTTTTTTTATTTTTCCCACTTTGAATGGCAAACAAACTGACGGCCCACCTGATGGAAAGTGGTAAGCGTCGCCTGTAGACATGAGCCATGTACCATGCACATAACAGAGCATACTGTTTCGCCCATGACACCCCCCATTCGTTTCCATCCCTGAGGACTCAGGTGTTATTCCTCTATGCCCTGTAAATTCACG